CTTTCTGGTATTTAATATGAATTTTATTTGTATAAATTTACAATTTACTTGAAAACCTTGGAACAAGTATTGATTGATGAACTTTTAAGCAGTTTTCTATGTGCTTTTACTCTGTTATCTCTTTTATCATAGAATTAATTTTTATTGCAACATTGAAATGTAGTATTAGTACTACAACTTTATTAAAAAGAAAACTAGGGTTTAGTGAAATTAAGTAACTCATTCCAATTTTATTTAATTTAGTCAATCATTCCTTTATACAAAAATCATTAATTATGACATCTAAGATATTTCAGAAAAAGAGTAATTCTTATTTAGAAAAATAAAGAGGCCTGTGATCACAAGTATTTGCAGATTAGTCAGGATAGCAGAAATATAATTAAAAATTTAAAACTTTATGGTGGTGCAATAATAGAAGCTTTAAAAGATATCAAATAATTTAGAGGAGAAAATGCCATTAATTCTACTTTAAAAGACCAAGGAATACCAAGGTATTAAAAGAGGTAAAATTTTGGGTCAATTTTGGAGAGTTAATAGAAACTCACTCAGTATGTAATAGAGAGATCAAGTGATCCAGTCAATGAGCTTGGTATGGAACAAGGACTCTATACATACAGTGATAAGGTATAATGATAGAACTTTATGCAGATTTGGAATCACCACAACAGTACATACAACAGAAGAGGATTTAGTATCAGTGATGAAGTAAGGGTAACATGCAGGATTCAGGTCATGAGAGTCTATGTCCCATAAAAAAGGAGCACCAGGATTTAACTATTTTGTAGGTGATGGGGAAATATTGGAAAGATTATGATGGAGTCATATAGATATTTTAGAAGGTCACTATGGAAAATATAAGGACAGTGGGTTGATGGAGAAATTCTTGAGGTAGAGATTTAAGATTTAAAAATGTATGTATATGGCTTTGTTTTAAAGCAACAATGATTAAGAGTGGATGAGATTTATTAATACTAGCCTCTTCTTAAACAATGTTTACTATAGTGAGACACCATCCTTGGTTATTTCTCTTAGAACCCTAGGAAGGTTAGAAACTAATATTCCTATTTCACAAATTGGAAAATAGGCACAGAGAAATTAAATTGCTCATCCAAAGTCAAACCACTATCAAAGGATGGGGCCAAAATTTCAACCAGGGTAGTCTGGCTGCAGATCTTGTTCTCATCATAACTATAATCCAGTCAAACAAACCAAACTCCAGGCCTTTCTTCCACAGCTCTTCTGGTGAGT